AAGCAGTATCACTACGGAAGTAGATTGCCCAATCTTCCTTCCGAGGAGTGGCTGGTGGGTTTGAACCATCAGCCTTCTTGTTAGCAGTCAAGTGTCTTAGCCACTATGCTAACAGAGCTCCTCTATAAGACCAGCAAATATGGTCTCTTTTTTTTTCTTCATGATTTTGAGTTTTGTCCCACATTGTTCTTCCACTCTACACAGGATCTCCTATACAGACCATCTTCCAAGTGCTTGGCAGTGGTAGTTGGGCACCATCTAGTTCTCCTGGTCTCATAGTCATATAGGCTGAGGATTGCATGGCCTACCAGAACCTTGGACTAATTGTTTCCATGTGTCTTTGGTTTTCTTCCTTCTTCTTTGCTCTGGATGAGGAGAGACCCATTATTGCATCTAGATGACCACTTGCAAGTGTTTAAGACTCCAGTTCCTACTCACCAAAATAGGATGTGGAACAATGCTTTTGTGTAGCATGTTATGCCAATTGAGCTTGATGTCCCTTATGACCATGGTCCTGTGCCCAAAGCTGTAACTACTCCCTCCCTCCAGGTAGCTGGCTGTGGCCAAGAAGTCACCACAACCTTGTCCCTTGTCAGCTCTCTAGATACCTTGACACTCTTACAGCACATACAAATACGCTTGTAGAAGCATCATCTGCCAACCCTACACATGGTCATGGGAACATTACCCCCAGCCTAGACATACCTGATAATTCAGCCTGTCCACCCATCTATCCACCCATAGATCAATGTTTGCTGTCACTGACAACACAGTACTGTATATGCAAAAGGGCTCATCTTTATTGTCTGTACCTCCCATATACCTCTCTCTGTCTTCTTCTTCCTCAGTGCCACCATGTTGATCACTCACATTGTCCTTCTCTTCACCCAAATCAATACTTGTCTCTACCTATTTAGCCGTGTTCCCTCTCCTCCCCTCCTACCCCTGGTAACCAACAAAGAAAGCTTCTTTCCATATATAAACCTTTCCTTGACTTTTTACAATAATGAACTAATACAATGTTTGCCCTTCTGTGATTGACTTATTTCATTCAGCATAATGTCCTCAAAGTTCATCTACATTATGTGATGTTTTGTAGATTCTACATTATTCTTTAGTGTTGCATAGCATTCCACTGTGTGCATGTACCACAGTTTGGTTATCCATTCTTTTGTTGATGGGCACTTAGGGTGTTTCCAACTTTTTGCCATTGTAAATAGTGCTGCAATGAACACATGTATCTGTTCTTGTCCTAGCTTTCACTTCTTTAGGATATATACCTAGTAATGGGATTGCTGGATCGAATTATTGTTGTTGTTATGTGCCGTTGAGTTGGACCCGACTCATAGCGAGACCCCTCCTTGGGTTTCTGAGGCAGTATCACTATGGAAGTAGATTGCCCCATCTTCCTTCCAAGGAGTAACTCAGTGACTGGTGGGTTTGAACCACCAGCATACATACATACACACACACACACACACACAAACACCCCTATTTATTTATTTATTTATTTATATGCTTGACCCACAGAACATTTTCTGTTTGTGGTCTTTCTGTCTCACTGCTGGGAAACCTATATTGTACCTTTGC